GATATCCGAGTACTTAGAGGTGTGAGACAACGTGTTATGATTGGAATGGGAAGATGCTGGGCCCGACGAGAATGCATTCCTTGGCCTATTCTTTCCTCTGCTGCGCAGAGACGCACTTGAAGAGGAGTGCATGCTGACTGATGATGTAGGGTGTCTAGATGAGATTGGGGGCTGGGCCCAGTCCACGTCCTCGGGATCGTTTGAGTCTTGCTCTTGCAGAGCAAGCAGCGATGGCATATGCTTCCTCATAGCCGAAACTAGTGGTTTCAAAGAAAGAAAGCCGCTGCAGCCAGCCGAGCTGGAAGTGGTCAGAATAGAAACACTATATGATATAATATGTTTGCAACCATATAAATGAAATTCAATAATGTAGTATACAGCATTCACGTGACCCCTCGAAATCAATAATCATGATCTGAACGTTGTGGAGAACCGTCACCATCTTCTTACTGACACACACACACTTCGTAAATCATTGTCGTAAATCTCAGCTAAAATGGGTATCGTCGAGAAGGTGACCTACATACATAGAGGTTTCTGGACGATGCTGATGCGCGACTGTCGCGGCATTTTTATATTCTCTAGATTAAGGAGATCGAGGGTGAGTAACATACTAGACTTTCATAGCGAATTGTTGGGTTCAATAAATTCGATGTGATTAGAGGAGATGGCTAGGAGTGAGTCTTTCTTCTCCGTATCTCAGAGTGTATTGCACCTGAACAATATGCCTCAGCCCAGAAGAACAAGGTACATATCGAAAAGACAGTACACTAGTTGCGATTGGCAGGCGCTTTGACACGTTCACCCCAAGTAGGCTACAGAATATCATCTGGGTCTTCTGAAAGCAAAGCTAGCTCGGTATCGGGCCCAACTTCTCGAACCTGCCTCCAAGTCTGGGCCCGCCGGTGTCGGGTTTGACGTGCAGAAATCAGGAGATGCCCGAGTTGCATTGATAGGATTTCCGTCTGTCGGGAAGGTGAGTTCATTCATAACATGCACGAATATTATCTGAAGAGGAACTTTAGTCTACCCTCCTCAGTAAATGTACTCACACCGCGTCCGAAACGGCAGCATATGAATTCACAACCCTTACTGTCAGCAACTCTCACCCAGTATATCCTATTGATGACTGACTTGTACGGAATACTTAGGCGATACCTGGAGTGATCGAGTACCAGGGGGCACGTATACAACTGCTCGATCTTCCTGGAATTGTCGAGGGTGCTAGCCAAGGTTTGTTTCCCGTTCTTTCCAAGTAAAATATATCATTGTTCTGTAGGCCGCGGTCGAGGGCGACAAGTTGTTGCTAGTAAGTCCCTTTATCTATTTAAATGAAAGATAATAAGTATGGCGCAGCGGCGAAGACAGCCGATCTTATTCTCATCATGCTCGACGCAACAAAGTCTGAAGAGCAGCGACGGCTTCTCGAGATCGAACTCGATGCAGTTGGTATCCGCCTTAATAAACGCAAACCTGACGTGGTGTTCAAACGGCGGACAACTGGTGGTGTGAGTAGTTAATTCATGTCTCCTGTCACATTCTCATTATACTTGCAGATAACTGTACGCTGAAGCTGCATTCATGCGCCATTCAAACATTTAATGGGTTATTTAGCTGAATACTACCGTAAAACTCACCAAGACAGACGAGAAGACTATTCGCACCATTCTGGCAGGATGTATGCCCCCTGAGTTTGGGTTCCATGTGCCTCGCTGACCAGACGCAGATAAACTACACAACTGCGATGTGATGATCCGAGAAGATGTATGTCAATAACTCTATCATTCGGCTATCATTCACAATGTTATTATCGGAAGATAACAACCGACGAGTTCATCGATGTCCTCATTGGTATGATAACTGTGTGTGCCGAGACGAACTGCTCATTTGACTCGGAAAATTATAGGAACTCGAAAATATATACCTTGTTTATGTATGTTTTGTTCGCTTGGCACGAGGTGCCACTTAGATCTGACTTCGGACAGATGTTTATAACAAGATTGATGCGATTAGTCTGGAGTTGGTCCGTACAAACCGACCAATTTGATGCTGACATCCTGAAGGACCCGTGATAATCAGGTAGATAAACTTGCAAGAACAGAGCATACAGTCGTGATCAGTTGCGAGATGGACCTCAAGTGAGTCGACTATTTTCACAGATCTGTTCCCCTGTCTTACAACCAACTAGTCTGGACTACCTTATCGAGCAGATATGGGAAAGCTTAGAGCTTGTCAAAGTTTACACAAAGAAAAGGGGTGCACGACCAGACTTGTCGGATCCTGTATGTTTGAGAAAAGGCGCTACTATCGAAGTGTGTAACATCGCTATCGTTTCATAGACTTTCTTGACATCGCTATAGGACGTCTGTTTGGGTATTCATAAATCGCTCGTCTCAAACTTCCGCAATGGGCTTGTCTGGTGAGTAAACCGTTTGTCGGCTCACACATACACTTAACTCTTGACAGGGTATATAATATTTTGCTTGCATGGCGGATTGTGGCCACTGACTACTCGCATAGGGTCGTTCATCCAAGTTCTCACCCCACGCACAGAAGGTCAGTTTGAACCATCAGTTGCAAGACGAAGATGTTGTTTCAAGTATGTTTCCTTCTTTGACAGTATCACTGCTGTTAACATTTTACCCTCTGTAGTTTTCACGAAGTAGTCACTGTTCAGTTACGACTGGTATGTGCTTATCGGCATACAGAATTTTGAGGAACAACACCAAATATAGTTGCTCTGGCTTCCGGCTCTTGGCCTGTCTCTGCCCATAAGTTGTCACTTGCCAATTTTAAGTTCAACGATATCCCCCCAGTCCAAAATTTGACCACAGATTGCCTGTGCGTATGTGGGCCAATTGCCTATGATGTAGTATAGACGCTATCATGAGCCGCCTTGGAAGAACTTGGGAGGCACTCGTACTCCGAAATTTGCATGCGTTCGCTGTGGATCGAGGTCATCCATCCCGCGGACTTATCAGTGATTCCACGAGGTACCACCGGTACGCGTCGTTGGTGAATTAAGGGCGAACGGTATCGGTTACTCAAAAAAGTGTTTGAAGTGGCCGATGCTGTGCTGTCACGGGTCTTAGCTTCAACTTGAAATTTGTCACAAGGCGGCGCCAACATGCTAGACCCGTTATAAATGCTTTTCATCGTTTAGTGCATCGTTCAGCGCTCAGCGCTCAGCACCGATAACCTAAGGTTCGTGTGTGCGCCTTATCAGCACTAACCGCGGTCACACGTGCCGCCGTAAAGGACGCAAATTGGTGGGCGTCTATGTATAATCGAGATCAACGACGGCTCATCGGAATAAGTTGAAACCGTTCGGAAATTAGGCTCTTGACGTTGAAAAACGGCGTACCTCCCTGTAACTTCTCCTCCCAACTTTCCCCTTCAGTCCTACAATTAATGGGCTCCATCGCCTCTCCTTCCGATACTCCTTCAATCGAACTTTTATTCCTTGGAACAGGCACTTCCTCCTCGATCCCTCACCTGGACTGCCTGACTGCTCCGGCCAATAGAAAGCCCTGTTTGACCTGCCTCTCTACGCTGACTCCAGAAGGAAAAAAGAATATCAGGCGAAATACATCCGCGGCTCTTCGCATATCAGGCAAGGACGGCAAGACAACGTAAGTCCACATCATTGACTTTTCTTTCTGATCCCAAAATTACGGACTTGAACTAGAACTGTGGTCATCGATGTGGGCAAAAACTTTCAAGCTGCGGCGGTGGAGTGGTTCCCAAAGTATGGATTGAGGGAGATTGACGCTGTTATCATCACCCATGCACATGCTGATGGTCGGATTTGCTTATTTGAGATGGACGATGATGCTGATTGTCTTGATAGCCATGAACGGCTTGGATGATCTCCGAGGTAAGGACAGGAATAACTCTGGCATAGCATTGCACGTTCACCATTACATCAGGATGGACGCTCGGAGGTGCCATCCAAACTCACATCGATATATATGTTTCTCAGTCCACGTTTCGCGAAGTTCAAAGATCTTTCCCTTATTTGGTCTCCAAAGAATTCGCATCTGGGGGAGGTGATGTAAGTTTTTCTTTCGTTAACTCGGACATCTATTTGATATATGCAATGCCCCGGAAAACAGGTGCCGGATTTTGAATGGCACATCATAGAAGATAAAGTCCCATTTGAAATCAAGGATACGGGTGTCCAGATTACCCCATTCATAGGTTGGTTAATGCTGTGATAGAGGTCTATTCTCGATTGACTAAACTGGTACCTTAGTCCACCATGGCAGGGTGTTTACCACAGATCCTCCGCCGGCCTTTGCACCGACACCATACGCAACTCAGCCAACAACTCCCAACTTGTCAGGAAGGTCATCCCCCATAAGATCGCTGTCAGGTGCCTGCTGCAGGAACGCACCACCCAAAATTAACCCCTACTTGTGCTTTGGGTTTTTGATTCAGGACAGCATCATCTACATTTCTGACGTATCTTTGATACCTGATGATACTTGGGCTCTCCTAGAGTCGGTCAAGAGACCGATGCCAGTGTTGGTGCTCGACTGCTTGCGGCTGAGGTCTCATACGTCACATATGGGTGTCCAGGAAGCAGTAGCTTCGGTGCGAAGGTTGAATCCCAGCCGAACCTATTTGACTGGGTTCAGCCATGACATTTCTCATGATGAATATGTAACCATTGGCAGGGCCGCGGGGGCAGAGGGCCCTAACTTAGATACAACTCGCATGAGCGTCATGGAGCGTCGGGGGACGGAGATGATTCGAGAAGGGAAACCCGTGTGGATTCGGCCATCCCATGATGGATTGAGGGTATTTGTATCTAGTGATGATTCGGTCATTGACGAGACATACGACTGAACAGGAAGTTGTTCTTGTATTACCATTCCCCTTGAATCTTGATTTTGACGTATATCTTTAAATGTACCGTAGAATTCGGGGTCCTGGCGGCCGTTAACGGAATAGGACTTACTTACGTGATACAATCCTGTTCAATTGATTATTGCCCTTCCACCCACACATCAATCTTCTAGGCCTGCAGTAGCTGCCCTGTCCGCTCTCTCGTTCTGCTCTTCTAAACCGACTTGAATTGAAACCAGTCGTACCGGGGTCGTTGACAATGAAGTTCTTTTCTCAATCCTTCTTGTACGAGTGAGTAGTTTTTCATCACAGTCAGGTTTGTCACTCATATGCTCAAAAACCTGCAGCGATCCCTGGTCCATTGTCTCTCTCGCCTTCTTTTTACGCTATCCCAATCCATACGCAGCTCATGTCATTTCGTGCGATATCATTGACAGGCACCAGACAGAGTCGGGCTCCTTATTGACAACAAGGCTCATCTTGAAAAGGGGAGCTTTGCCAAGATGGGCTCCCCAAGGTATTATCTCAAGGGCTGAGTCATGGGTTATTGAGGAGAGCGAAGTGGATCCCTTTGGAAAGTTTGTTCGGTGCAGGACCAAAAACCTTGATCATGTCAAGGTTATGCAAATCGAGGAAACTCAACTGTTCGAGCAAAATGAAGACGGGTACGTGTCACTTATCTTACACACACGAGTCGCACTAACGGCTTTCTCGAGCAGCCGTACTATGCAGACGACTGAGGCATACATCACCTCCAAGTTCGGCTGGGGAATGACAAAACGAATCGAGAGCCATGGACTAGCTCGGTTCAAGGCTCACGTTCAAAGAGTTAGCTTGTTTTGCTGTCTTTCTTCATTATTGGTCGTCTGATCTCCTCGTAGTCTCGGCAGGGTGTCTCCCTTATCCTTGACCTAATTCGCCAGGCTCGACTGCAGCCTATGGCGTTAAGCTCGTATATAACACATCTCCACTCAGAACATTCTTTCGCTTCTACGGATACTCCGACTTCATCCCACAGCTCAGACAATACTGGTCATGCGCCAGAGGAGTATTCTTCGCCCACGACTGAAAACACTTGGTTGGGCAAAATATGGGGCAGTAGGTGATCGGTCTGAAGTCCATTCTTACTTACTTGCTTCCACCTTGACATAATTTGGTTTTAGTTTTACGTGTTGCACTCATTGTATCATTAGTGGCATCTAGTACCCTCACAAATGTTGTTCACAGATATGTGCGTGCTGCGTAAGTTGTACATGTGTGTAAGTATGTGAGTGTGCATGTAAGGCGTGTAAGAGACGAACTGTTTTTCACATCGGCCGCAATGATGTCGTTCCAACTTACCGCTCGCCTAAATCATTGATCCCTTCTTTGTACTGTGGACGTTTATTGATTTCGTCATTCACCCTTTCGAGTCCAAATTCGCGCTCGGTGATACAGGTAGTAACCAATGTACTTTCCTACCTCAGCGGCAAGGCAGTTGTTGACTGTTCCTGCTCTACCTGATGTCACCCCCGAACCTGTACTCTGCTTCGAAGCTAGCCCGCGCAAGTCCCTCTTCTGCTTACTCACAAGGAGTTCTTTGACCGTTTGGCGCGTTCGAGTACGTAGGTTTTAGTATTATCACGTTCTGCAACTCAGCGCAATCCATGTCCATGTCTTATAGCCTTCTGCCCCGCTGGCCCACATCTCGAGGGGAGAAACCTCTCTCTTAGAACATGGCGATAATACGGCGGTGACTTGGTCACCAGACGGGAGTAGGATCGTTATTCAGGTCTGCTCTTATTTCTAACTGAGCGGTCGACTATCCTGCAGACATTGATTTCGTGGACATAGACTACGATGTCGTATTTGATCCTGGTCACGGTCGATTATGTTCCAGATGCATCGGTATACCAGCCATCACACATGGGTCCGAGTGTGCAGCGCAACTTCCTGCCAGGTCCAGGAGAGGGCATACCACTGCAGTCACTAAGCCTCGCACTCGAAGGTGTGATATGTACCGAGGGGCAGGTTCTCAGGTCGGCTCAAGCAATTCATATTGATGTATTTGACTGAAAGTTTCTTCAGCGTTTCACCACGCAAAAACTGTATCATCTTTTCAACTAGTTCCCCGCCTTCTGTACAACGCATACCATGGCCAGTATACGACGAATCAGACATCGAAGAGCAGACAGCGCGCAGGTCGCTTATGGGTCATGACACTTGGATTTTGAATGACCATGAGTTGCCTTGGCTTTTAGACCCTGATGGTAGGTCCCTGGTTGGCTGGCGTCCTTGACGGCACTTACGAGGGCCGAAGTTACCGTCACGAAGCTCCTTGAACACTCTATATCGGGGGTGGAAACCTGGATCACTTCTGACGGGAGAGCATATTTTGTCCGTTTGCAAGAAAGTAGGTATTCAGAAAACGTTTCAGAGCTTGACGAGGAGGAGACTGAAAAAGTGGGTTGCCCTGTTCTACCACTGCTCAAGTTCTTAACACAGCTTCTGCCCCAGAGTTCAACATCGAACCTAGCTAACGGAACATCAATTGACAGTTCTGGCTCGCAGCCGCACTACCATTGGGAAGGCACGTGTATCCACGACTTTGACGTACCCCGTTGGGTGCAAAAGCAGCGAAGTACCGATGACGGCAGCGGTCAGTCGTCGTCAACCTACATTGAACCTCGTCGGGCAATGGCAATAGCTGTCAACACGAGATTTTCGCTCGTTGCAGTTGGTACTCAAAAGTTTGCAGAATCCCTCTTATTCGGTTCTTCCAACTAATTCCTCTGATTAGTGGCTCCATCGAGTTTACAAGTTTTCCGACTCCGGATGAGCCTACACCCATTCCAAAGGTTGTCGATATACCAAACCCGTATAACCGTCTGAGTGGTTCTGTGACTGCGATGGAGTGGAGTTCGGATGGTTATGTGCTAGCTGTGGGGTGGACACATGGCTGGGCAATATTCAGCGTGGGTGGACGATGCCTTGCATCCAGCTTTGGCGTCGAAGATCACATTGATGGCGACCGGTGAGTTCGTGACTTGACGGGATGCCAGGGTACTTACATTCTGCCTTAGGTTTCAAGATACCTTCATGCACGCGGTCGAGAACCTTGTCAGTATGAGCTGCTATCCACTTTGAGGCCCTCTGATTTTCAACTTTGACAGTTCTGGGCACCAGGAAACTTCGAGCTAGTTGTCCTAACACCCTCCGGAATAAGTGAGTTTGTTCTGCCTGCGATACCAAAATCTCACGCGATAACCATAGAACCGGACGGCCAAGTTTTTGTTTTGCCATTTGCCAAAAGCGCAACGACATGTCAACATTCTCCGGTGAGTTCACGTTATTACTCGACGATACAAGGTTTATCATACAATGAGCAGGATAACACTCGTTACGCGTTTCTGCAAATGGACGATCGAGCGCTAGTGTATCGAGGCGCTGAGCAACCCGACATGAGCGTCATTAACCCAGAGTCAGATGTGTGGCAACACATCAAAGTCAGTATCCCAACAATCACATACATATAGTTAAACTTACGTATGGCAGATACCTCAATCCTACCTGGCAACAAATTGGCCCATAAAATACTCGGCACTCAGCAGTGATGGGCGACTGATTGCTATTGCCGGAAGGCGGGGTCTGGTACATTACAGCTCGACCTCGGGCAGATGGAAAATATTCTCGAACATCGTTCAAGAGCAGGCATTTACGGTGAAAGGAGGACTTCTGTGGTTCCATCATGTTCTGATTGTTGCAGTGGAAATTTCTAAGTCGTATCAGGTTCGTCCAAGCGCTCGCTTCCATGTGGAATCCAATTGACTGTACCTCATCAGATACGGCTCTACTCCAGAGACATGGAACTCAGCAATCAAAATGTGCTTCACCGCGAAGTCCTAATGTCGCCAGTAGTCATCTTATCGTTGGTTGACAATTCACTACTGGTCTATACTGCCGACAACATGCTTAGCCACTATTTGATCATACCAACTGCTGACACAATCGAACTGCATTTGTGCGGAAGTATCACATTTGACGGAATCATTGCCTCACCTAGCGCAGTGAGGGCATTGAGCTGGATGATCCCGAATACTCAGAAACGTACGTTCATCGACTTCCAAAACACTACTTACTCATCTTTCGTATCCAGGGCTCGGTGACCCTGTGGATGACCTCGCAGTCGCCACTGTATTAATGGTGGTTGGTGGTCAGTTGGTGTTATTGCGTCCCAGAACGGTGCGCTGTGATGAAACATCAACGCAGCAGATTATTAACTTTGCCTTCAAGTCGGGTACCCAGGAGGTGAATTACGACATGCAAATCTTCGCAGAACGCATCGAATTCTGTTGGATACATCTCCGTGGTATTGGTGCACTCGAGAATTCACTCTGGGGTTACGATGGACAGAACATGCGAGTTTGGCTGAATGCACTTGCAATTGAGTCGTCCGGATCTGCCGATGAACCTTCAAGCGTCAAGGAAAGTGTGAGCATACCATTAGACTTCTATCCGTTGTGTGCGTGTGTATTCCTCGTATGTGTTGGGGTCCTGTGATATGCTGATGGACAAGCAGCTGTTCTCATGGACAAGGGAATCATCATCGGCGCGGAGCATGAGGCCGCAACGAGAATGAACCTCTCATTTGTAATGTTCAGACATGCCACAAGTGTGAGTTTCTTCTCTGACTACTCGTATCTGTACTTACCTGTTTTAAGTCCCATCTTTTTCTGCACCACGTCCTCCGTTATCATCTGGAATCCGGGCAAGTGAAGGAGGCAGTGACGCTGGCCAAACACTATCAGCATCTAGTCTTCTTCGCACATGCATTAGAAATACTGCTACATACGGTCGTGGAATCTGAGTGCGCAGTAGACTCAGAAGATCCTTCGACAAGCGCGTCGCCTGAGTCTGGTACACTCACGGCAGTGATAGAGTTTCTTGATCACTTCGACGCCTCCTTGGACGTCGTTGTCGGATGTGCTCGGAAAACTGAAATGACCAGATGGAAGCGTCTCTTTAGCATTGTTGGGAACCCACATGCACTCTTTGAGGTGAGATACAGTTAAGTTTCGTAGAACGGAATCCCGCTAACTTATCGTAACAGACGTGTTTGGCGTCCAAACGGCTGAAGACAGCAGGTTCATATTTATTGGTGCTGCATAATCTTGAGCAGCTCGATGAAAACAATAAAGATGCCGTCCGCTTGCTGAAATGTGCTGTGAAAGCGCAGGACTGGCAACTTTGTCGGGAACTCTTGCGCTTCTTGCATTCCATCGATGATACTGGAAAGGCGCTCAGGCATGCCTTGTCGGAGACATCTCTGGTGGCCCGGAAAGGCGTCATGGTATCTTAGGTTGTGATTTTCAGTAGTCATGGGAGTAGGTCGTTCGAACTTCGTAGTACCACGTGTAGCGTGTACAACCACAGAAGTTTTCAAGGATCGCAATCTATGACACATCGTATACCCTCTGCGATTATCTTAGGCCCCGGCGCCATTCATTCAGTACTAGTCCGAGTTAATCACGGTTTAGCGCTTTGTGACGATAATCACCATCACCTGTACTGTCAGGCAGTACTAATACGGCCGCCGGCGTAACGGTACTTTACTGCTTTCGAGTCAAGGCTCGGAACTCGATACTAGTGCCTAAGCGTTCTGACTTTGTCTGATGGCGAGAAGGGTACTTTTTCGCTCCATAAGGTCCCTAACCCATGTTTTACAGGGATCGCGTGCCATGTCTACAGACGTCGTGTCGATCTCTTACCAAACACTTGTATCTTCACCCTCGTCCCTAGAGACATCTATCGGTGAGTCATGTATAACATCGTATGCCGCTATACCAATACTAATCCTTTCTCTTACAAGAGGAGGCATTTGGATCGCATCCTCAGGCTCTCGGGCTTATACTTGTGAAAGATCTTCCGCCTGTCTACCCTGTCTACAGAGAAAGATTGCTCAAGCTTGCATACAAATTCGCTCATCTGGACGAGGACGTAAGGGAGAGATATGTGGACCCTGGGAGTATATACAGGTGGGTCAAGTTTGCACTTGCTCAGGTAGCAAGGTTTTTGACTCCGGCCTGAAGCTACGGATGGTCGCATGGGAAAGTCAGTGTTACGAAGGCTGAAAGATGTTGATTAATGAACTGGATTGACTGATGCCGCCCCTCAGGAAATCATGAATGGACGACCAGGCATGTATACCGCCTATTGGCTGGACACCTGCTTACCTTGGAACTAGATACGCT